TAAAGCACAAAGAACAAAGATATTCGGATCAGTCAGTTCAGTCGGATAATTTGCAGAAATGATTCAATGCATATCACACCTCCGTTGGCGGGTGCGCGTTGTCGAAGGGCGGGATCTGCCTCAATCCCCAAGGATTGTCGTGAGCACCAGTGATACCTCTGAGCCAGTGCTCTACAGTCTCCTTGTCGACGTCCTCCAGGTGTACTCGAGTCGGGTCGTTAGCCTCGGCGTACCGCCGCATGGGATGAGCCCGCTCCTACAGCGGTTGGATCTGCCGACTGAGGAAGACCTCCAGCAGATCCAGGCCTGTCACTCCACCCTGAATCAGACCGACTACAGAAGCTACAAGAATCCCCACTTCTGTCTTTTCCTCCTTGTCCATCTCAGCGATGGAGGTGCATTGACCCTCTCGGGCATGCAAGGAGGGAGGCCAGTCGACGAACCAGCACAAGGAATGTCATCGCAGTAGAACCAAATTGATTGCCAACCTCTAACCGACTTGGGAAAGGTCATTATAGGGAGAGTGCTCCTACCCCTCATCTGGATGCCTAAGCTGCCGCACAATTGGATAACATGGATTTTCTCCCCCTCAGGGTCAGCCTTTTTGATCGACTAGGAACGACATGTGAAGATGTGTTTGAATAGCCCCCAGTGCGGCTGGCAGCCTCAGAAGTTTTCGAACATGGAAATGAATGCACCAAGGTATGCTATGGCATTCGGAGGGAGATGGTGAAGCCGGGCACCAAAAAAGTTCAAGAAATCATGGAGGAAAGGATGGGGCGGCATAGAAAAACCTCTCTCGACGTGAGCGACGAGGAGCACGCGCTCCGCTAGACGCAATGCAGGCTCAGTCTCCCCCTCCTCTGGCAGCCTCCAGCTCTCTTCCCGCACCAGTCCGTTGATGATGAGCCCGCCGATGTCCTCCACCGTGGTGGTCGATGGGAGCGCGACCCTGGAACTCGACGCCTTCTTCACCCTCTACAGCTTCGCTGTCTTGTCCTTTGCCATCACGACGGAGCGCTCTAGCGCCGAGCAGACTCGCGCGGAGTGGAGGAGAAGAGAAAGATTGGAAGACTAAATGCAAGGGAGAAAAGGGGATCTGGCTCTCTCCCTCCCTCACCGACGCGACAACCTTCTTATACTACTGGCCTCTCCTCCTGCCGATCCTCACTGCTGGATTACGGGCCTGCAAATCTCCGAATTTCGCTGGCGGAGATCCAGAGATGCGTGGCGGGAAGTGGGCGAAAATCAAGGCGTCACGCGCCACTTCCCCCACTCACCGCGTCGCAACCGTTCGCGCGCGCATCTCTGATTTCAAATCCCGCAAAATCCAAGATCTATAAATCCGATTGCTTGCCCTTTAAAATCCTTCCAAAAACTCTCGAGTCTTGTCTGCCACCCGATGCACGAAGACACATTCCACTCGGTAAGAGACATCCCTCGCCTAGCTCAGGACTGTAAGCAACTCTCACTTGGGAGTCACATGATCCGGAATCTGTCAAGGCGTCGTGCGAAGACAAGGTCGTCGAATGACCAACAGGAGCTCTTGAGTGCCTCTATAGTACTCAGCTCACTTGGAGGTTCGTTCCGATTCGGCCTGACTAACCTTGACCAATTCGGGGGCTAACGATGGGGACATGCACTAAGGGTACGGAAACATGCCTGACCTACAAACCCTACCCTAGGACACCATGCACCTTACACTGGGCCCTAGGGCCAGACCAACATTCAAATACTCTGCAACCTGACGGTCACTAGAAGTCACTAATCACTCGGAAGATAGCACTCAACTCGACCGGACCACTTCACTCGGAGAACCTGTCATCACTCAGATAGAGAAGACCAGGAGGCTCCCCGGGATCACAACAGTTAGGACGTTCGTCTGCCCTCGTCAAATGTATTTAGTGCGCATGTTACCAGTAACTGGCGCCCTTAAACTCCTCCTTAAACCCTTGGTAACGACAACATTCATGGGCGAGGGTGAACTCTATATAAGCCTCCTCCCGTTCCGTGACAAGGGTTCGCATCTTCTGTAAACCATACACTCCATCAAAACAGCTCAGAGCACTGATACATAGGGCTATTACCTCCACATGAGGGGCCTGAACTCGTAAATCCGAGTGTAACAACTGCGCCCCTCTAATTCGTACCCCTATACACTATTGTCAGACTTACACCCATGACAGTCGCGCCGACGCTCAGGTTAATGGCGGTTTAACGCCACAACCCACCCCTTCCCATGCCATAATGGTGGGCCTTTGCTCAATTCCGAGAACTTTTATTTATGCACAAAAAACAACACCATGGTAATTCTGCTGAAAACAGCAAGTGTCCTATAGCAAGTGTCCTATACCCCGCGCTACTACTATTAATTTCAAAAAAAAAAACTCTTGATCCCGTGCGTGCTGTCAATGGCGACAATGGTTCGATCTAGCGACGACAGGGGTCGCCGAAGGCGCAGACGGGTAGTTGCAGACTAGATCCGGCGGTGGCTGCTAGAGAGGGCCCGGATCCAGGGCAGAGCAAGGTGGCGGTGTGGGGCTCCTCTTCGCGGCCAAGGCAGAGAGCTCCTGGTCGTCCATGGCAACGACTTGCACGAGCATGGACATGGGAGGGTGAGTCAAACCAGAGGGAGAGAGAGAGAAAAAGAGAAACGAGGGGGAGAGGAAGGAGATGAAGGGAGCAGCGGGGCTGGTCGCCGGTGGTGAGGTGCTCCGGCGCGATGGCATGGAGACGTAGGGGAAGACCGACGAGCTCCTAGTCGCCGGCGGTGCGAGGCAGAGGCCTCCTTCGGCGCCATGGAGGAGGAGGCGCGCATGGCCAGGAGCCCCATGGGAGAGCCTACGGAGAGAGAGGGGGAGAATGGCACGAGAGAGGAGGGATTTGGGGGAGGAGATGGGGATTTCAGGACTGTTAAGAAACCTTGTACTTAGTAGTAGCGCGGGGTTTATACCCCCCCGCTGCTACTATGGCCTGTCCCAGGGGCACGGTGGAGACCACTTAGTAGCAGCGTGGGTTTATAGCCCCCGCTACTGCTATCAACTTAGTAGTAGCGCGGGTTTATTCCCCTCGCTACTACTATGCACCAAAAACCTTGGGTTCCACGGGGTAAATCAATTAAAAAGGGACAACATGTCCCGAGGGGCATGGTGGAGACCACTTAGTAGCAGCGTGGGTTTATACCCCGCGCTGCTACTATCAACTTAGTAGTAGAGGGGTGTTAGACCCCACACTACTACTAATTAGCAGTAGCGCGGCCCATATACCCCTCGCTACTGCTAAGCATCTATCTACAATGTACTTCCTAGTAGTGGAGCTTGGAGCACTCCAAATGCTTTCTCCACATCCTTCCTAGCTGCCTCTTGCATTGTTGTAAAGCGGCTTTGTTCGTTGCCTTCCGAATCGGATATGGTCTTCACAAATGCCGCCCGCCGAGAATATATACCATTAGCAAGGTAGCTCCTCATGGTGTAGTTTCCGTTGATGGTGCAGTTGCATGGTGGAGCTTCCCTATCATAATGTTTCTTGAACAAAGGAGATCGTTGGAACATAATGATGTCATTGTATGAACCTGGCGTGCCAAACAGAGCATGTCAAGTCCATGAGTTCTTCGATGCCACTGCTTCAAGCTTGACAATGACTTCTTTAAAAGTGGGCCCTAGCGGCGAGTCGAACAACGAGCGTTGTGCATATCATATCTGCCCTAGATATGAGCCGATTATAAGAAGTGCCGGTCAGTTCGGACGTTTGGATCAAATATACTCCCTCCGCCTGATGAAAAGTGTACATATAGAAATTTTAGGACAAATTATGAAGTGGAGTAAAAAATGCAATGGAAAGATGCAAGCCATCATTCCTCTCCTCTTTAATTATCCAACCCCCAATGAACTAAGTTCATGTAGAAATTAAGAAAACCAAGTGTAGAATGGTATTGGTCTTGATCACTGTGTTATGAGAGAAAATTATTTTTTCTACTTTAAAACTGTATTGGGATTTTTTCTACTTGAAAAGTGTATTGGGATTTGGGAAGATAGAAGTACATTTTTTTTGGACAAATTTAAAAGCCAAACATACACTCTTCACCGGACGAAGGGAATAGAGCGTTCAATTGGACAGCATTTTTTTGTCCGGACGCAGCCCGCCGGGGCTTTTGGGGTCCGGTTGTAGACGTAGGGGCGGAACCGCGGAAGGGCATATGCTGATACCCCGTTATTTTTCTTCCCTTCCGTTTTTCTTCCTTGAGGCGCCGCCTTTCTCTAGAGACTCCCGGAGTCTCGAGACTCGAGGGCACCAACGGCGTCTTCTCCGAGCCAAAGCTCCCGATTCCTTACCCACCGACACCCCCTGCCACCCGCACCCGCACCCGCAACCCTCGTCTCGGCCACCCCTGACTCCTCTTCCCTAAGATTCCGCGATCCGCTAGGACGCAGGTTTGAAGAGGGAACCCCCAGCCGCCGCCGCGGCCGCCGAGCACCGGACGACGACGTTAGCGGGCACGCGAAGTGGAATGCGATGTGTGGTGAGCATATCCCGTCAATTTGATACCCATTATTCAGGATTGGGATAGTAGGATTCCATTCTTAAGAGCATCTGGGGCATGGCGTACTAATCTGTATCTGTAGCAATTTGTTTTCACTCTTTCTGCTCCTTATGAGGCTGCGCAGTTCTATAGCAAATCTCAAACCAATGTGTGTGTGTATGCATAGTTTGTTTCCATAGTAGCATCCATATATGGCTGTACGTTTTAGATTTCTTAGCAGTCGCGTGCTGCCTTCTTTAGGTAGAAGAGTCGAGAAGCAGCACGTAGATACATGATTAGCCACTGCCGCGAGGATTCACAAGATTCATCTTCTCTTGAATTAAGCTGGATTTAAAATTTCATGAAACACATAAAAATGCATTCTCAAACGCAAGCATATCTTACAATTTTGTATTTGTACTGTCGTTATCATATCCTTTTTATGTTCATATTTGACTGTCTCTTTCTTTCAGAGTGATCAATGTGCAGTGCATTAAATGGCACGGAAGTGACATCTAGCTCAAAAATGCAACGTTTTGTATATATCAATGATGAGTCCTGCCGGGATTCCTACCGTGACAATCGGGTTTCCAATACCAAATACACCTTGTGGAATTTTCTCCCTAAGAATTTATTGGAACAATTCAGGTCAGGTTCTCAGTTATTTTATACTGTTTTGGTATTTTTGCACACTCTACCATTCAAGTATAGTACTCTGACCTGCAACGTACATGAGATCCATCATCTTTTTAGCACTTTGTCAAAAACCCGACAAAACCGTCCTGTTTCCTTTTCTATTGAATTTATTCCGTCACTATTTCTGCATTAAATTACATTTCTTCCATGTTCACTTCTCTAAATATTTCAGGCGTTTCATGAATCAGTATTTTCTGCTAATCGCCTGCCTTCAGTTGTGGCCCACTATTACTCCTGTAAGTCCTGCAACTACATGGGGCCCGCTTGCCATAATCTTCATTGTTTCTGCTTCAAAAGAGGCTTGGGATGATTACAATAGGTATCTTTCCGACAAGAAAGTAAATGAAAGGAGAATCTGGGTGGTAAAGGATGGCATCCGTAGACAGGTTTTCCCCCCTTTCTCTACCAACATTTATTTCTCTCTCAGTGGAGAGAGAACAACATCCTCCTTAGCCTGTAACAAGTTGTGTCAATATTTGCGTTCATCATTACTTCTGTTTGTCAGCCATAATCTGATATCAATTGTTCAGTTTGGCAGTCGGCACCACAAATTGTTTCAAAGTATAAAGCCTAAAGCTTGAAGTTTCTTGCACTCACTTGTAATTTGCTTAGCTATTGCTTGTGCTGGAACTTGTATGTCCATCTGTGTACTGTAAAGACCTAACAGTGCATTGTTACGTGTGCCTTATGGATCATTGATATCAGCGAGAGTGAACGGATTATAGGAGTTGTCATTTGTCAGTGTATCTTTCATGTTCGGCTAAATGGATGAAGTTGTATTTCTTAGGAAAATTAACTCTGGGACACTGCAAAAGTATGATGTTTGCTGAGGACACTGAACAATTGATTATTTTGTAATCGACATTTCAGAATCAATAATCATGGTCATTTGACAGAACATGCCATGTCCCTTGAAAAACAGATACTATTCTGAGATTTAGGAGAGAGCAGGGACGAGGAAAAATCTTATTTGTCAAATACTTTAATCAAAGGCTTAATAGTTGATTATAGATGGTCGAACCATCAGATTTGATGGCTAATTGTTAGGAGTTCTTTCAATATTTGGACGTATCGAACTGACTAAGATCTAAGATTGACATCTTACACATCTTCTCTTCACTAGATTTGGAACCAACAATATTTTACTGGGCCTTCTATAGTAAATGACCATATTTTTTGTAGAGTCTTCAATGAATTGTTGATTTTAGATTGACGTTCAGCAACCACCACACATTTGTTTTGTCGTAGAGCAATTCTGCCTATTTCAAATGGTTCTACTTATGGCTACTTGGGTTTAGATTGATGAATATTTGATTGTACAATACTAATTTGTGTTTTCAGATCAAAGCAAGGGGGATACATGTCGGAAATATAGTGTGGCTCCATGAGAATGATGAGATCCCATGTGATCTTGTTCTCATTGGAACTTCTGATCCTCAAGGCATCTGTTATGTTGAGGTAAATGATTCTACTAACAAACATTAGATAATATGTTTATTTGGTATTCCTGCTACATGATATGTGTGATAGGACTCACTTGGGTGGCCATGGCCTTGCTTAGGTGCATATTAAATTCATCTGAAATGCCTTGACATGTCAATTCAACAGGATATACTGGAGGTCATATTTGTCTAATGAATGTTGATTCTGATGCTACCCTTCTGATGGCCCGATTATTACATTTTAATGTTTGCAGAATCTGAAATCTGAACATCGAAATTCTCTTTTCCCAGTTTATAAAACTAAGTTTACTAATATGTGATGAGAAATTTTAGTGACTATACAGTAATAATATTTGGAAACAGGAAACAGCCGCTGATGGTGAAAAATGCAAGCTGGTAGTAGTGAGCATTTTTATTTTTCTAGACACTCTGCTAGTACGAGTTAATTAACAAATTTATGGAGTTATATGTCATGGTTGTTTAACCTAGAAGAAATTAACCTTCAGAATCCTTTTAGTAGTTGGTTTGGCTAGAAGGTAAACCAATTACTAGGATATTGGAATTAAGCTGAGTATTGGGGACCAGGAATTGTGCCTCTCAGCAATACCTGTTGTTTGAATCATAATGAAATCGGAATAGCATTTGGGACCCACCTCCATGGATTTTGGTTGACAACTAGGAATCCTGCCTAGTACCAAACTCAGATCCTTCGAATTGCATGGAAATGTTTGCCCTCACATTTCTCGACTCTGATGATACCAAATCGCCCCCATCAATACATCGCTTTTTGCAAGATTCTGTTGACCTGCTGTGTCACCTTTGCTGGTGAAATCCACTTGTGTCGTCCTGTTCTGCCATATGGCCGGATCACCTCCTGTTCTTTACCAGTGCCGGTGCCGCATCCTGTTGTTTGGCCCCATGGCAGCGCTGCCTGCTGTGGTCTGTCGCGTTGCAGGCTTCGCCTCTTATGTTCTACCCCATCTCAGGCACCACCTTCTGCCCTCCTGCGTTATACCCTGTCGCAGGCACCGCTTCCACTTCCTTATCTGTGCGGGCGCAGTTGTTTGTGCAGAGCCATGAACTGTGACCACTACAAATCTGGGCCTTGCTGAATATGTTAACTAATGACAACCACTTCTCCAGAGCCATGTAAAAAGTGTTTACCGAAAAAGGCTTTCGCCCCGCTTTATAAATAAAGCAAACCGCCACAAGACATACAACCACAACAGGTCCACACACACACACCACCCAAGTACCACAACAAAGTATTAAGGTTCTGCTGAGGGCACAGCTCAACAAGCCCAGAAGAAAGAGAAAAAACAAAGCCTGCCCAGTGCAGGCGATCTAGTCAGGCTCCGGCGGAGGCGGCGGCGGCGGGGGCGACAGGCGGACGGCCATCGAGCAGAGATCGGCGATGAAGGCAGAGATGGCGTCCCGATCCAGGGGGCGGCTAAGCAGCCGCCAAAGCTGCAAGAAACCCGAGAATTTGTAGAGAGCATCAGTAGTGCGACGAAGAGGAGTACGCTGGATCACTAGCTTATTGCGAACGGTCCAAAGCGTCCAGGCAAGGACCCCAACCTCGAGCCACCTAATGTGGCGAGAGGACGAAGGGGACAATTGGAGTTCAGCAAATAAGTCCGGGAAATTGGTGTGGCACCAACTCCCACCGACAATCTCGCGAAAGCAGCTCCAGAGGAACCGGGCGGAGACGCAGGCGAAGAAGATGTGGTTGGAGTCCTCGGGAACAGCACGGAGGGGGCAGATACCAGTGCCCGGGCCATTACGCTTGCGGACCTCCACACCGGACGGGATCCGTCCACGGATCCACTGCCACATGAAGATGCGAATCTTCAGGGGGACGCGGACGGACCACACCATCGATAGGGGGAGGGGAGCGGAGGAGGGGGCAATGGCCAAGTATAGCGATTTGGTAGAGAACTGGATGTAAAAAGTGTTTCGTAATCATAAATATATATCTAAGTAGATTCCACACCTTGAACTCAAGCATATATCTATAGCTAAACCAGTATAAAGGCACGAGTTGGTCTTGACACTTCTAATCTGAGCCATCCGAAATCTTTGATCCTATCTCATAATCATCCATCCAGTGGTTGTGGACAATGCCATATCTCCCTTAGCCACTCGTATGCTTATAGGCTCTTCATTTTACTTATCATCTCCTAGTTAATTACTATCTAATTTCATTTGTCGTGCTTACAATTTTGTTTCTATTTTATATTTTTGTATATGAAATTCATTTATTTGCTCTCAAGATGTGCATGTTATCAGATTCTTTTTCTTGAATGTTATCTGAAACTTCTTGAATCAATGTTTTCAAGTTAACATGGAACTGTACAATCATTTCTATAGGTGGGCTTAAAATTTTCCTGTGCTTGCAATACACTATCTTGCACATGCAGTGTAGATCCCTCGGAGCATATAATGTAACAACTGAACTAACCACTGACAGATGGTTGAAGAATGATATAAGGCTGAGAAAACAACTCTTCCAAAATTCTTGCGGATGATTATTAATTTTGTCCAAATTAAACATGCTGTTGATGAAACATAGGAAAGGGTACGAGGCGGTGAAACTGGAGGGAGATAGCGAAACAGAGGCAGTGTTTGAGAGATTTTAATTTTCACAGTTAAAACAAAACAAAAATACTGAACATGAGGTTATCTGGTCGTTTTGTAGTGATGATTAATGGACTAATTTACACTAGTTGCAATATAAACAACTGAAACTTATCGGCATTGCAAGAAAAGTTTCACTCATTCTGTTGATCATGTTTGATGGATTGTTAAAAGGTGATTAGTATCTCAATACAACTCATACTTATAGATAGTATAGATAATTTTTTTAAGTTTGATTTAAGATTTCAGCCTTTCGTCAAAAGCATGCAAAATTTCATGTTTTTATATCTTTCCTTTCACATTAACAATATTGAGAGTAAGAAAACAAGTCAACAGAACTGTATCTATTTCATTTATTTTTGTGTTCGAATTTGGTTACTTGAACCGGCTTTGCACGTGAAGGGCTGCTAATCGTGTGCAGCAGTCTTGTTTTATTACTCTCGAGTATATGAGAACTTGGCATAGATGAACCTGTGCGTATTTATTGGCATGCAGAAGGAAATTGTGCTAGAATGCTCTCTTTTATTGTGCACACCATAGTCTTCTCAATTTCAGTAGGCTCCTTTTGTACTCTCCTTCTATATCTGGGGATAGATCTGTTTCGCTTTTGTGATTGGTTTATGATAATTTACAGAAATATTGTGCAGCTTGAAAGCCACCATGTTACCTACTGTTACAATAATCTAAATAGAAAATTTACTTTGGCTGTTTTCAGTACTGATAGTGCCAGTTTTTCTCACTTTTACTTCAGACCGCAGCTTTGGATGGTGAAACTGATTTGAAAACCAGAATTATCCCGTCAATTTGTGCTGACCTGTCATCGGAGCAATTGGGGAAAATCAAGGTGAGCCTTTCTGTACTTGTACATTCTTGGCCTTTTCTCATGCCTTCTCTGATTGCCTGTCTCTGGATTGAGCAGGGTGTAGTCGAGTGCCCCAACCCAGATAATGACATAAGAAGATTTGATGCTAACATGCGCTTGTTCCCTCCTATCATTGATAATGAGAAATGTCCTTTAACTATCAACAATACACTTCTTCAGTCATGTTACTTACGGTACACGGAATGGGCATGTGGAGTTGCAATTTACACAGGTAAAGATAGCTATATCAAACTTCGTTTAGCCTATTCTTGATTTACTACCCCAAAGATGCATGTTTGAGGCATTTGGTGTGCACTTAACTGACCAAACAAAATGTCTTTTGTGTCAGGCAATGAAACCAAATCAGGAATGAGCAGGGGAACTGCGGAGCCCAAGCTTACCGCTGCTGATTCAATGATAGACAAACTCACCGTTGCAATATTTATTTTCCAAATTGCTGTTGTTCTTTTGCTGGGTCTTGCTGGCAATATCTGGATGGACAGCCATGGTCGTAAGGTGATATTTATCTCCGACGAAAGCAGTTTCCTTAAGTAGCAAATTCAGTAGTACTTTCATTCGATGCATCGATGCATGTTTTTATACTTTCTGTAGGTAAAACTACTTGGCCCCTCAACTATTGACATGGTTATTGCGACAGTTCAATTTGCAGCACCAGTTTCAGTACCCTTTAGTTTGCACCTTACTCTGAATAATGGTGCAGATACCCCCCTAGCCAAATACTTGCAAACCACCTGTCCCATCCCCACCTAAAACAGAAATAAACCATCTCCCAAACATGCATCAAATGCGTATCTTTTGTATTAGGTGAAGGCACCAAGATGGCTCAAAAGTTACAGCGAACGGAAAAAACTAAGGCAAAGGCAAAAGCAAAAGCAAAATAAAACCAGATGGCTGTACATCCATCCTAGGTTTACGAGTCGACAAGTCGACGAGTCGTTCTGAGGTTGAGACTCATAGACTAATCATGACTAATCGTGACAAGTCGACACGGAAGTTGCGACTCATAGACTAGTCGACACTGAAGTGTAGTCGGCCCTGGAGTTGCGACTCATAGACTAGTCGATAGACTAGTCTTGACTAGTCCTTGGACTCATAATCTACATGCTAGGGGCCCAACATTGGGAAGACGCGTGTAGAAATAAACCATCATAAATCTGTTTAACCCCACCTGTCAACCCCTTGTACCTCTTCTTTGTCTTCTCTTGTCTTCCTTCCCTTCCTACTTCTATCTCCCCCCTCGCCTTCAGGTTCATGGCCAAGTTTATGTTGAGGATGCCTGAAGCGGGAACCTCACGACCTGGTTAGCTGTCGTGCTCAGCAGTTGGCACCACTGGGAATCTGCCTCATCATGAATGGGTCTCAACATTGGAGCTGTCTAGGAAGCCAGGGCATGGTAATGTCGCTGCGATCATTTCGCTCCTTTGTTTCTACTGTTATGGACACAAGCTTGTCCAGATGTGATGAAGTGGAGAAGGATGCCATGGACCATGGTCATGCTTGCCTATGACTGAAGTGCCCTAGTGTGTGATGCTTCTCTATTGGTGGCGGCCAGCCAGCCACAGCCAGTTCCAGCTCCAATACCATATCCTCCATCCATACCGAAATCCTTAGGAGCCTTCAGTTATCTGGCGCTAGATTGTGCAGCTGCAGAGACCATGTGGGATCCAGATGCTACTCTCCTGCTATCAGAGCCAAAGAGGCCAGGGTCCCAAAACCCTATGTGAGACCATTTTGGGCACTAATCCAGGCAGGCAACCTCTCCTCGAGTGCTCGCCAGAGGCTGGGATTGGGTGGCTGGAGGGAGGAAAAATATAGAGAAATGGGGGAGGATAGAGAAAGGAGAAAAAGAGTCGTTTTTACAGTTTTCTTATCTCTGACGTGTAGGGCCTACTGTCCAGGTAGGATTGATGATCTGACAGCCATGCCATCCAAAATGCGTATGAAATCGGTCTTGGGACCTAATATAAACGGTTTTGGTAGGTGCAAATTATATGGTTTTAAAGTTCCGGGTGTAAATTAAACTGAACCAGTAGTTGAGGGGCTAACTATAGACTTTCTCCTACTCTTAAATCTAGATCTGCAAGGGATTGAATGAACTTTATTCTATTTTTTCTTTGATCTGATTATTAGTTTACTTTGTGTCCTTTTGTGTAGCTATGGTATCTCATGTATCCTGCTGAAAGACCATGGTACGATTTCTTGGTTATCCCATTGCGCTTTGAACTACTCTGTTCAATAATGATTCCGATTTCCATAAAGGTATGGTTATAAGTTGATTTTTTCCCTTCTCGTGCTGTTTGTTTGAGGTACTCCAGCTTGCAAATTTGCAATGCACAAAGCTCTGATTTTGAAGCTTTATTTGTAAAAGAATTTGCAAGAGGATTTTTTTGTATTGATCCTTCACATTCATGATAGTGTACGGAAAATAGTACTAAGATGTTTTTGTGTAAATTCCAGTTCACCATTCTTGATTGAACATAAAGAGTTGATGGCCTTAGCCCAGCACCTCCCCTTGGATTTTCTTTCCTAGTTCCATCCTGGGCTTTGCTCATTGCCTGGAAGCCCAGTTTGCAAAACCTTAAGCCTGAAAAAATTAGCCATCAACTCTAATTTTGAATGATTGAGATTGCATGACATTGGTACACGCTGCCGAGATCAGGCTCGCGCTATTGCTCATATTATTGCCTTTTGAAGTTCACATCTTCAACACTACCCCCCTTGACGTGATAAGCAAGTGACACTTAATTTTCCAAGTGCATTCCCAGTATAGTAGTATTTCTTTCTTCACGTGCATTATTGCAAAAAATATATTTCAAATCTATGTTCCAGTGTATTATTTCTTTGGTTTCCGAATGAATGTTTTAATTCAAATAATTAGTTTCAAGGTGCCGCCATCACATGTCATCAGGATCAATCGTAACCTGCAAATAATTAGTTGTAATTTTTCTTACCAATTGAACTATTCCTTTTCTTTTTGTAAGAGAAACTGTCGATTGAACTATTCTCTCTCAGCGAACAAACCTACACCGCCACCATCATGGTAACCATTGGCTTGTTCATGCTTACACAAAAATTCTCTGTAGATGTTTGATTGCAAACTTTATTGATTCTTTCTGTGAGGAAAACCTCATTTATGAGGTACCATCTTTTTTAATTCTACTTACTAGTGCATTTCATATTTTGTTCATTGATGACGTAAGTTGTTTTAATTGCCCGATCTTTCAACTGTAGAGTGTTCCACTATTAGAGTTGTTACTAACTATATTATGGTTTCTTCTGCTTAGTGTTAAATAAAGTTCCATTGCCTAACTTTGTTAGTGTTTCTAGGTTACTCTTGATTTGGCTAAAGGTGTATACGCAAAATTTATTGATTGTGATGATCAAATGTTTGATCCGGAAACAAATACACCTGCCCACTCAGCTAAGTATGTGATATAGTTTATTCATCTGTATAAATTAGGTGTTCATCAGACCTGTGTTCTTTATATCTTAGATCTTATATAAGTGCCTCTTTCAGCACAGCTATTAGCGAAGACCTTGGGCAGGTTGAATATATATTAAGCGACAAAACTGGGACATTGACAGAGAATAGAATGATTTTCAGAAGATGTTGCATAAGTGGTGTTCTATATGGAGATAAAACCGGAGATGCTTTAAAAGGTATCAACTTGTTCTCGATGTTCGTCCCATTCTGGCAGGCGTATTTTTAGCTTGTCTAGTAGGGCTTGATATGAAACATGGTGTTCTTTTGCATGAAGTACGAGCTGTACCTGAAGCTCTTCATTGACTGCCAAATATTTCATGCAATTGGAGGCAAAGCACATGCATTTTCATTTGTTGACTAAGTACTCCCTCCATCAACGTATTTAGGTGGCCTTTGTTTGAGCTGCAGCTTCAGATTCTCGGATTCTAGGCCTCACAGAATCACAATCTAAAACAAACATGCAGATTCTTGTCTCAGCTTCATAGAATCGCTTGTGAAAATTGAACTACCAGGTACGTCGAAGCGGAAGCTGCGAATTCGGTGATTCTGGAGATTTCCGAGCTGCCACTTATGCAAGTTAAAGCCTAGCCCAAGTTCTGCCCGTTATTACAACAGAAATACCACTCCACCCAACGCAACCTCAGGACGGGTCCTCCTCCCCTTCGTTGACCGAACAAAAAACAGAGAGACCGGGAGGAGATGCGGGGCTCTCTCTAGGGTTCCGGCGCCGCCACCCTCGACGCCACGTTGGCTCCAGAACTGGTGAATCCGGCGCCGCCACTTCCGCCATCCCCGTATTCCGGCCAGCGAGCCCCACCTCTGCCGCTGCCAAGCAGCTCCGCACCTCCGCCTACACCGCCCCGCCCCCAACCATTGCGTATGCCGCCCCGAGGTCTCCCTGCGTCGCGCGTGCCAGCCACCATCGTCCTAATCCCCGTCCAACATCCAGCAACAGTCATCCCTGAGCTTGGTTGCGCCCCTCCCTGATCAGTTCAGACTTTTGGGTGAATATTTTTAGGCTCCATCAGTATTTAGACGCGGGATAGATGTAGACCTCATATATTTTTATCAAATATTGTATTAGTTGCATGTAGAACTTGAGGCCTCTTGGCTCTGGTGCAATATTGAATCGGATGCACCAACCAGTTCACCTAAAAGTTCGAACTGACCTTAGAACAGCGGGCAATATGTTTCAACACTAAATACCACATTTTTTCTTCGAGAAAACGCAAAAGACCTTTGTGTTTCATTTCATTAAAAAGATGGGGTGTACAAGTACAATCCTCCTAGGAGGCTGGAACTACATAGTGGGGGCTAGGATCAGTGGACATCCCATGACTGTGGCAAGACGACCCTGAGTCCTTGGGCCCCTGCTGTGGCTCAACAGCTGATCTCTACCTTGATCTTGTCCAGGATCTGTTCGGGAGATGGTCTCGCGTGCTCGAAGACAATCATTTCTGTGCTTCCAGAGCATCCACGGCACTAGTAGGGCGACGGACTGCAGGGCTTTGCGCAATCCTTGTGGTGTGGCCTCCTTCGTGCGCAACCACCAGTCCATGAGGTTGGCCTCGCGCTCCGGGACAGGGGCAGGGATGCCATGTTAGGGTTGCATGCCATGTCTGACGGGCAAAGGGGCACGCGAGCAGCAGGTGCTGGATCGTCTCGGGTGCTTGGTCGCAAAGGAGGCATCGGGGGTGGTGTTGTAGCCCTCGACGAGCAAGCCTGTCTGCGGTCCAACACCGGTCTTGGTTAGCCAACCAGTGAAAAAATTTCACCCGCGGTGGCGCCCAGCTCTTCCAAATGAGCTTCCAGGAGTGGCAGGAAGTCGATCCCTGGAAAGTGGCCAAGTAGCATGATTGCGTGGAGTAAATCCCGTTTGCAGACCATTTCCAGCGCAGCTTGTCCGGCTTGTTGGAGAGTGTAGTGCTCATCACGTCCTGCCACAGTAGCAGGTATTGCCCGATCTCGTGGACCCCGAGTGTGCCATGAATGTCGCGCGCTCACGCGTTCCCGGCAAGGCCAGCAGCCACAGTTGTCGACTTGCGGCGTCGCTTGGGGATACACTCGTAGAGCAGGGGCGCGATCTCTCAGACGGACTGCCCGTGCAGCCATCGGTCCTCCCAGAATAGGGCAGTCGAGCCGTCTCCAACCACCATGGATGTGGATGCGAAGAAAAGGGCTCGCTCATCGGTGGTGAACTGCAGGTCTAGACCCTGCCACGCGCGCTCGCTGTCCGTGCGGGCAAACCAGAGCCAATGCAAGCGCAGTGCCAACCCGGCGCGCTCCAGGTCGCGAACTCCGAGTCTGCCATATTCGATCGGACAGCAAACATGTCGCTAGTTGACGTGGCAGTGTCCCCCGTGTGCAGCCGCGCGTCCTGCCCAGAGAAACCCTCGCTGGATCCTTTCGATTTGTCGTAGGGTTTTCTTTGGGGGCGCTAGTGCTAGCATTTGATGGACGGGATGTCGCGCCGAGGGTGCAGCTGTTGCAGGATGTCTTCCTGGAGGGCACGCGGCATGAGGCGACCGAGGGTGTCGACGGCAAGCACGAAGAGCTGCGGTGATATAGGGTCTCCTTGGCGCAGCCCGCAACGGTGCCAGATCGGCGGGCCGGGTTCCTCGTTGAGCATCACACGAGTGCTGGCCATGGACAGGAGGATTGCGATCCACTCCCTGAAGCGATCGCCAAATCCGTACTGGCGCAAAACCTCGAAGAGGAAAGGCCATGACAGGGAGTCAAAGGCACGCGTTAGGCATCGCTTGGGCAGTAGTGTCAGGAGCGCTTGGTTCAGTTTGCTGAAGCCGTGCCCACGCATCTCGAACAACAGCTAGAAGACGTCGAGCAGGTCTTGTTTGATGATGCTCCAGCACGCCCGGAGAAATTCAGTGGTGAATCCGTCGGGCCCCGGCGCCTTGCGCGGCGGCATGCGCTTTATTACGTCCCAGATCTCTTCTAGGCTGAATGGCACGTCGAGGCACGCCAGATCAGTTGGCTCGATGAGCTGTGACAAGTCCAGCGTGTGGTCCCTATCGACGGCGGTGCCGAGCAAGCCGTCGAAATGTGTGAAGGCTGCTTGAGCCATCTCCTCGTGGCTGGTGAGTACTTGCCCGTCGACGTTGATGTTGTGCATGCGGTTCTTTTGCCGGCAGTAGGAGCACCGCCGGTGGAAGTTGGTGTTGGCGTCTCCGTCCTTGAGATTGGCGATGCGTGATCGTTGCCTGGCGATGGTTCGCTCCATGGAGGCAAGCCCGAGGTAAGCGATCTTGATCTGCTTGTGCAACCAATCTTCCGGTGGCGAGAGCACGCGGTCCTCCATGGCCTTGTCGAAGCGCATGATGAGTTCCCGGGAGATGGCCATCTTGTCTCAGATGTTGCCGGTGGTCTTGGCGCTCCAACTTGTGAGCCGTCGGGCTGTGGCCTGTAGGTGCAACACAAGACGTCGGAAGGGTTCAGGTCGTGGACTGAGCCCCAAGCCGCAGCGACCGTGTCGTGGAACCCGTCCAGGCGCAGCCAGTCCTCGAAGTGGAAGCGCCGATGGGCCGTCGGTGTGGGCGAGCAGTCCAATAGGAGGGGGCAGTGGTCCGATACGACTGACGCGAGGCAACGCTGATGGCATTCGGCATGCGCATCCTCCCAATCGGACGTGCATAGCACACGGTCCAGGTGCAACAGAGTCGGAGGTGATTGCTCGTTAGACCACGTGAAACGGCGTCTGTTGAGGTATACCTCCTTCAGGGTGAGGTCGTTAATGACACGACGGAACGTGCCCATCATGCGCCGGTTCAACCCGCCGCTGCTCTTGTCCTCTGCGTGATAGATGATGTTAAAGTCTCCACATAGGATCCAAGGGCTAGTGCAATCCGCACGGATCTCACCCAACTCCTGCAGGAACGAGATCTTATCCGCGTCCTCCTGGGGTTCATATACGACGGTCAGCCACCAAGGCGCGTCGGTGGCCGTGATCACATTTGTGGTGAACACCGGATCCGTGATAGTCACGGCCCTGCTCTTCCACGCCAGGAGGATGCCGCCTCGTGTGCCCAGCGTCAGGAGGTAGGTGTAATCGTCAAACTCCGGTCCAAGTGTGTCAGGGACAACAGACGAACAGATCAACGCCATTTAAGTCTCCTGTAAGCAGACAATCGATGCCCCAGTGGTGTCCAGTAATGATCTAATGGCGGTGCGCTGGGCGCGCGCATTGAGACTGCGCACATTCCAAACTACAACCTTCAGGCCGTGATCCATGGAAACGGGATCGACGGTTAGGCAGCCGGTCGGGTCTAGTTCTTGTCTGTGCCATCGACACGCGCCGAGATGGTTGGCGACGAAGCGAGACACGCTGGGATCTCACAATCAACCAGAGTTGTGATGGCCTTGATCACCGTCAACGGGATGGGTGCCGCAAACATTCCCTCATAAGTCTTCATCTCGGCCGCTGTTATCTTCTGGTTGATGCCCACGATCCCCAGCGTGTGGAGAAGTTGCACCTGCGCCCTTCGCTCGGAGGTAGGCGGTGGCCCCGCAGGGGTGGCAGATGCCAAGCGCCCGTGTCGAGGGGAGAAGTTAAGCGGGCGACGTGGCCGTTTCCCAGGTGTCGGCAGCGCCGCGCATACCTGCTTAGTGGCGGCGGCTAGGAATTCGCCCAACGTCCACAATCGCTGTGGCGCGGCGCGGCCACGAGTGTGGCGGAGAGTGATAGGCGGGGAAGCGAAGCGATCAGGCACAACTGGACGCGGACCAGGGGTGGTGCATGCGGCCGTGGAAGTTGCTGCTGTGGTGGGGTCGTCGTTGGGCCTCCCTGGCGTTGCGTGCTGGGCTTGACCCCGCTGCAAAATTGTAATGGGGCCTCTTGATGGGGAGGGTGAGAGCGGCGGCCCATTAGTTGCAATGGGGCCTCTTGATGGGGAGGGCGGCAACGGCGGCCCATCAGCTGCAGGGCCTGGCGAGCAGGCAGGGGTAGTGGCCTCGCGCATCTCCTCGCCTGGCGCGTCGCGAGGGTGGGGCCGCGTGGATTTGTCAGCGCGTGCGCCGGGTCCCTCTGGCAGGGAGGACGTGTGCAAAGCATCGCTTTGTCCCGACAAGGGGGTCTGCTCGGCTGGCTCCTCAGACCGCGAGTCTGGCACCTCGCTCAGAGTGGCCAGGTCCCGACAAGCCATCGGATCATGTGAGCCAACGGTTGGCCCAACAGGATCTTCCTTGGGCTCGTGGGACGGGGCGGGGTTTGAATCTCTGGAGGCTTCTGATGGCCCTGCAGCCAATGACGTCTCGCTAGCAGGCGTGGTGGCCCCAACCCTGGCATCTCCTGTGGCGGTCGCAGCCTTGCGCGCCTGGTCCATGCCAAAAGTGTGCCTTTGCCTCCTCTTGCTTTTACTGCGACGACGAGATTGGGTGGGCCCCTGCTGACCTGGCCATGGCAGCATGCCGTTCCTCGTGGTGGGCGCGGGCCGCCGCGCCGGCCGGAGCGGGCCAGGAGGAGGTCGTGACATAACTTCTACCAACCTTCTGTTTCTTGATCACTACATACGTGCGGATGCCAAGAGTTGGTCACGGTTGCTTTGCAGAGATTGTTTTATATTGTTATATGCGAACAATGGTAATTTATACCCTTCTTTTGTAAAGAGTAGGCGAATACCTATATTTCAGAAACTAAGAGGTGAAATACCCACCTTATATCTATATAAGGCATGTGCACAGTTCGAGGGTGATGATGGAGCTGAATTATGTCATCTTTAGGATCAATAATCTTAAATTTCAGACTTCTCTTTGCGATTTTAATTAGGCAAGTTGATGTGTGGGTATTAAGAACTATACTGGGCATTCTTCTCACGGATTTGTTGAACATTCCATTTATTGTGTTATCATTCATATGCCAAAAATATTTTTCTGGAAACAAACTATAGCTGTCTTTTGTCATGTAAGATGTATTATTTCTTCTAATTAGATGCCAGACTTCTAAATGCTGTCTCAAGTAACGATCCGGATGTAGTCAAATTTCTGATGGTGATGGCTCTTTGCAACACAGTTGTTCCTATCAAAAGGCAAGTAAATCACTATTTTTATGGACAAACAATTCTGAATTGTCATGCCTATTTGAGATTTGCATTGTTCCTTATACCTTTCGTAATTTTAGCAACGATGGTACTATTTCATACAAAGCACAGTCACAAGATGAGGAAGCTTTGGTCAATGCTGCATCAAACCTGAATATGTTGCTTACAAGTAAAGACAGCAGTGGCATTGCTGGTTAGTAAATGCTTGATAGAGTCTGTTAAGATGGTCAACTTCTTACTCTATTTAGGTTTTCTGTTACTTGTCTGCTTGATCAATTTTCGTCTGATATTCTGCAGAGATTTGTTTCAATGGTTCTAAATTTTATTATGAGGTGTTGGATGTTTTGGAGTTCACTTCTGATCGCAAAAGAATGTCTATTGTGATAAAGGAGGCCAAGAGTGGGAGGTTTCTTCTTCTCACTAAAGGTGCTGATGAAGCTATTTCCCCACGTTCTTGTCCAGGTACATGGTTTATCAGCACGAAGCTCCCAAATATTGTATTTCCTCTATTATACTTCAAATTTTCATACACTCTTGCATGCCTTCATTTGATAGTTTAATTGTACGAAGGTGAGCACTGAAGTTTGGGCTACTTCCAAACCTGTTTTCTGCTAGATTAAAGTGCCTCTCAGAACTTTGTTTCTTCAGAAAAAGCAAAACTTTGTGTTCTCGATGCATTGCTAGATAGAAAATGTAATACTTACAAGCGGTCCACTCCTGGAAAATATGCCTATCATGTGATTGACTGGAGCACAACCTGAAGCTTCGTGTTGGTTTAGCATCTGAACATTAGGCATCTCAGCGTTGAAGACGTAAGCATTGCGGTGTTCCTGATCAACCATGCGGTGAGCATGATGATCGATGACAGCACTGTTGGGCATTTCTTCTTCTTTTGGCACCAAGTTGTCTTCCTTGACTGATTTGTTATTAAGTTGTGTCCAGTTTTTCCTTGAAGCAGGAGGCAGAGGTTTTTGGGCTTTTCTACTCTCTGTGTTTTTTCTTTGATGAAACCGTGTGTGTCTACTCTATTTTAAACATGTCAATATATGCCATGCAATCACCCATTTGGGTTCACTCCTTCAATGAACATATGGCTTGGGCACCAATTGATACCAAAATGGTTTGCATAGCAATAAAGCATGGTATTTGAAGGAATGCATCAAATGATTAAACACCTGGCTTTTGTTATACAAGATAATCAATTTTCTAGCACATAAATGCCAGGACAACAAACAAAGACCTATCTTGAGGCAGTAGAAATGTATTCTCATTTTGGTCTGCGGACATTATGTTTGGGATGCCGTGACTTAGAAGAAGATGAATATAAAGAATGGTCCAAAAAATTTCAAGATGCTAGCTGCTCACTGGACAACAGGGAGGTAAATCACTCCTGACCTTACCAGTTCATAATGGTTCACTTAGTTTGTATCTTTTTATATTTTTGAGGCATATTACGAGCTTCATAATATACAGCATAAAATTGCCGAAGTCTGTAACAGCTTAGAGCAAGGTATTCACATTCTTGGCATCACTGCCATAGAGGACCGTCTCCAGGTATTATTTGTTAGTTGTTTTTTCTAATAATCAGTGGAATTACTTGTGCAATCGCATGCTTGCCGTTCTCCTTCTCATAGATTGTTGTGACCTGGTAGGATGGTGTGCCTGAAACTATTAAATTGCTAAGGAAGGCTGGAATCAATGTGTGGATGCTAACTGGTGATAAGCAAACTACAGCAATCCAGATTGGACTTCTCTGTAACCTCATAACACCTGGTACTGTATTATCACTAGAAATAGATTATCTGGCAAATGTTCTGTGACACTTGTCCTGTTGTGATGAATTGTCTTAGAGCAGGAGGAATAATCCACCAAGCCTCTTTCATCTTTTATTATTTCATCGGTGCTTTTATCGGTTGGTTACTATTACTAGTTACTAGTATTTCACTCATCAAGCATTGAAAGTTCTTACGTGGTTCGTCTACCATCTTAATCTATTTCCAGTATAAGATCTTAGTTCGTTCTTGCCAATAAGCGTGGTGTGGTTGGTTCTAAGTTACGACTAGAAGATGGTTACTAGGAGTTCATGGACAGCTAACTGTCAGAAAATGGTCATCCTATTTGTACCGCCAGACTGAGAAGTTGTATTTGTCAAAACAGAATTATGTATTAAAATGGCAACTTACTGCAGGCATCTCAGAAATAAAAACCACACATTAAAACAGATTTAGAGTAGGTGTAGGACATTTATTGCATGACTGTTCCAGAGGGCCCAAATCCTCACTAGCCTTTGCACAACCATATTGCCAGTATCACACTCATTTGTGGTATAGACAGGAATGCGTTTGTGGTATAAACAGGAAAAGCATCTCAAGAACACAATTTTTCCATTAAGCTAAATTTATGCTTTACCATGTGGTCAGTACTGCAGATCATTGATCATAAGACAACACTATTTTGTATCCATCAATCTGTTGCCAAAATTATCACTGCAACTCTTGTATCTCCTGCAGAGTCCAAAGGTCAATTGTTGTCCATCAATGGAAAAACTGAAGATGACATATTACAGAGCTTAGAGAGGGCACTGACAATTATGAAGACTGCGTTGGAAAGAAAGGTATTTTTTCTGGATTCCATATTGTACCTTACACGGGTAGTATCAAATCTTATGTGTGGCAAATATCTTCTGTACCCCATTTTTATAGCAGAAATGGTATACATGAGAAAATGACATTAGTCTTACGTCAATACATTAGATGCTCAGACAATACGTTACATTAGCTGCAATGCCTTTAGGTCATACTCCCTCCGTTCCTTTATCTGAGCTGTATTATTTTGGCACAATGACCAAGGAACGGAATTATGGAGCATTTCGGACAAAATTACCCTCGATTAGTTTGGTGGTTAGCAGCAGGTATATCAATTATGGACCTCATCCAGTGATTTGAGGGTGCGTGCAGATCGCCCGCTCGCCTTGCATGGCCCATGCAATGGCATATCCCAAGGAATCAGCAGCGCATGCAAACCAATCAATTGGGAGTTTATTTTTCAACCAAATCATTGGGAGGTTGGCTCGTGTTAGGGAGGTTGCTTGATTTTAACATGAGGACGTGAGGTCTCCATGTATGTGGTGTGTTAGGAATAAGCAACTTGTATTCCCATGAGGCCATAGGCCGATATATATACATGTATAGGTGTGGAACATATGCAGGAAACCCCTTATACAACGGGATAAATACAAAGGGGTACATGACTTATATTATAACTCTAACACCCCCCCTCAAACTCATGGTGGATGAACAACACTGAGTTTGGAGAGATAAAAGCCATGTTGTGCTCTAGTCTGGGCCTTCGTCAGGAAATCCGCCAATTGTAACTCGGAAGGCACATACTGAAGAGCAATAACCTGATCCTGCACACCAGCGCACACATAGAAAGCATCAACACCAATATGCTTGGTGAGCTCATGCTTCACAGGATCGCGCGCAATGCTAATAGCACCTGTACTGTCAGATAAGAGCAGAGTCGGTGTAGTGACAGAAGCACCAAAATCCTGAAGTAACCACCGTAACCAAGTCACCTCTGCCGTCAAAAGAGCCATTGCTCGCAACTCAGCCTCGGCACTCGAACGGGAAACTGCAATCTGTTTCTTCGTCTTCCAGGCAATGAGAGAACCACCAAGAAAAACACAGTAAGCAGAAAGTGAACGGCGATCTGAAGGATCACTAGCCCACGTAGCATCCGAATAGGTCTGAAGCTGTAAAGAACTGGAGCGAGGAAAGAATAGACGGTGGGAGATCGTGCCCCGAAGATATCGGAGAACACGAAGGAGATGACTATAGTGAACCGATGTGGGAGCAAAGACAAACTGACTCAGAATATGAACCGGATAAGAGATGTCCGGACGAGTGACAGCTAGATAGGCAAGACTGCCAACAAGATGACGATAACGCGTCGGGTCAGGGAGAGGATCACCATTAGTAGCACGGAGGTGAACATTGAGCTCCATAGGAGTCTCAACAATGCGCTCGTCAGTAAGAGCAGCACGAGCAAGAAGATCCTGGATATACTTTTCCTGGGATATAAAAAAGCCATCAGAGGTAGAAGAGACTTCAATCCCAAGAAAGTAGCGAAGAGGTCCAAGATCAGACATAAGAAACTGCTCACTAAGACGGGCCTTTACAAAGGCAATATACTCGGGGTCATCCCCAGTGATGATCATGTCATCAACATAGAGAAGAAGAAGAGTCCGACCACGAGGAGAAAGGTGAATAAACAATGCTGGATCATGAGCACTTGCTGAAAAACCAGCGGCAGTGACCACAGAGGCAAAACGCTCAAACCAGGCGCGGGGGGCTTGCTTAAGGCCATAGAGAGAGCGACGAAGACGACATACCATGCCATCAGGAACAGAATACCCAGGTGGTGGCTGCATGTACACCTCACGCACCTCACCATTAAGAAAGGCATTCTTAACATCAAGCTGAGATATAGACCAGTGGCGTGCAGAAGCAACGGCAAGAAGTGTACGAACAGTGGTCATATGGGCCACAGGAGCAAAAGTCTCGTCATAATCACGACCATGCTCCTGCTGAAAACCACAAGCACAAGACGAGCTTTGTGACGCAAGAGAACCATCAGAGCGAGTCTTAACCTTGTAGACCCACTTACAAGTGATGGGACGGACTCCGGGAGGAAGAGAAACAAGATCCCAGGTACCAGTGCGTTCAGGAGCAGCAATCTCCTCTGCCATCGCAAACTGCCATTCAGGATGAACAACAGCCTGACGATAAGAAGTCGGCTCAAGAACAGCAGCACCAGCGGTGGGAAATCCAAAGCGATCAACAGGCGGACGAGGACGAGAACGCAAGCCATAAGTAGGCTGAGAGGAAGATGACGACTCATCCATGGAGGCATCCACAGGTCATGAAAAAGATGGAACAATAGAAGGAGGAATCGCCAAGGTAGAATCGGGGGGTGGCGACGAAGAAGTCACCGGAGATGAAGGTGTAGAATCCGGTGACATGCTAGGCGAGGAGACCGGGGAAGATGGTGGCTGCAAATCGACTAGAGGTGGAGAAGCAGAGGGAGTGGAACGAATAGGCACAGGCTCGACGGGGGTGATAGGTGAGTCAGGAAAAGGGAGGAAAGAGATATCCTCCACTGAAAAAGTCGAGGAAGATGAGCGTGGGTAGAAGGGACGAGACTCATCAAAAGTCACGTCTCGAGAGATACGCATCCGACGACCGATAGGATCCCAACAACGATAGCCCTTATGCTCATCACTGTAGCCTAAGAAGACACACTCAACAGACTGAGCAGTCAGTTTGGTGCGTTCGCGAGGGGCAAGAAGAACATAGCAAACACAACCAAACAAGCGAAGCATCGAATAATCGAAAGAACGACCAAAAAGACGCTCGAAAGGAACACCACCCTGTAGAACAACGAAAGGCTGTATATTGATAAGATGGGTGGAGGTGGAGATGGCCTCAGCCCAAAAATGAGGCGGGAGAGAGGCAGCAATCATCAATGCACGAGCCGTCACAAGAAGATGTCGATGCTTTCGCTCAGCCACACCATTCTGAGCATGAGCACCAGGACAAGAGAATTGAGAGAGAGTTCCTTGCTCAGCAAGAAGCCAAGAACACCACACAACATCTTAGAGATATACTCGCCAGCGGAGTCAGCGGAGTCAGCACGAAAAACACGAATGAGTGAAGAGAACTGAGTATGAACCATGGCAGCAAAACGGTTATAAATAGATAACACCTCACTACGAGAAGTCATGAAATAAAGCCATGTGTAACGAGAGAAATCATCTATGAAAATAATATAGTATTTATGACCACCTTTCGAAGCGAAAGGAGCCGGACCCCATACACCAGAATGGACTAAATCGAAAGGACGCTTAGACACTGACTCACTATGTGAATATGCTAACTGAATCTGCTTGCCAAGACGACAACCCTGACACTCTAAAGAGACATCTCCTGAGACAGACCCTAGAAGACCTCGACGAACTAAAGACGACAACCGAGAACCACACAGATGACCAAGTCGATGATGCCACTGCTTGAAGGAACCAGTAATGGAGGCGACTGAAGCGGAGGAACTGGCGATGGTGGTGGCAGCGGAAGGAGCATGAAGCCAGTCCAACTCCCAAAGACCCTGAGAATCACGGCGGCGAGGGCCAGCCCCAACCAGAGTGTGCGTGCGACGGTCCTGGACAGAACAAGAGTCAACGTTAAGGATGACGCGACAACCAGAATCAGTAAGTTGACCAGCAGAAAACAGATTCATGGTAAGTCGAGGAACATGAGCAACATCAGGAATAGAATAAGGAGGAGTGGAAAGATTGCCTCTACTAGCAACAGTAAGTGGAGTACCATCAGCAGTGAAGACATGAACAGGAGAATCCAGCGATCAAAGAGAGGACAAAGTGGAAGAATGAGAAGACATGAAAAGAAGCTCTAGAGTCCAGAACCCATGTGGATGTACCTGACTGTGTAGAGGGCGGTTGCTCAGTGCGGGAAGCATCAGTCACAGAACCAGCAGTAGCCGTCGAGGAAGAACCTGAAGCCACGAGCAGACGCTTAAGTCTCAGAATATCCTGCTCAGTCAAAGCAATGGCTGAAGCTGTCGAGGTAGATGACGAAGTCCCTGAAGATGATGATCGCGCCTTGCGCAGGTGTTTCCGCTTCGTGTAGCACTGGGACTCAATATGCCCATCATTGTTGCAGTAGTCGCAATGTGGACGAGGGTGACCTGAGCCTCCAGAAGGAGTGGGCAAGAGCGGCGAAGCACTCGAGCGAGAAGGGGCCGGTGCAGCAGGTGGAGTGGAAGAAGCCCGAGTAGTGAGCACAGAGGGAACCTCCAGCAAACCAGCACCACGTAAGCGAGTCTCCTCGGCGCGAATCTCTGAAAGCGCCTCCATGAGAGAAATACGACCACGAGCAAACAACTGAGCACGCCGGGGCTCAAAATCCTTACGGAGCCGAGACAGGAACTCGTAGACGCGATGAAACTCCAAATTGGCCTGGACAGCCTGGCAACAGGGGCAAGTACGACAACCAGCACTGGGAGAGAATCAAGCTGGCGCCAGATAGCAGAACTCTGTGCATAGAAGTCATCAACAGTAGAGTCACCCTGCTGAAGAGCATGCTCCTGACGGACCACAGAAAGGTATAAGGCATCACCAGAGGGCTCATAGCGCTGACGAAGACGGGTCCACATCTCAAAGACAGTAGGAAGACCCAGAAACTCAGAAGCAAACTGAGGCAGAACACTAGCAGTGAGAACAGCTGCAGCACGAGCATCATCATCAAGCCACTGGGTGTAAATAGACAGAGCACCATGATACGTCTGAAGAGCCTCCTCATAAGCCAAAACCGTCTCATCATAAGCACGATCAGTAGCCTCATCAGCAAGCTTAGCCGCATCCTTGGCGGCCTGATTAGCATCCGTAGGAAGAACCAGTGGAGTCGGGGAGTAGGGGCAACCGGAGGAACTGGACGTGGCGGACAGCAGACCTCGCCAGAAAGAACACCCCAGAGACGGATGCCACGCATGTGAATGCGCATAAAGCCAGTGAACTCGGTGTAGTTAGTACCATCAAAG